CTCGATCAAACCTGTCTGCACGGCAAGAATCAGGAGCGTGACCCCTTCAGTCATTCCCCTGCAGATCAACACAGGCAAGAGAACAAACGATCACATCTCTATGTGTCGACACTGGCTCAAAAATACACACAGAAATGCTAGAAAATGAGCTGCCTGTAACTGCCACAATGTTACAGTTGCCACTGTTTTGTTTTTTTATGGACATCCCTTTTAAGGCTTTAACCACATGAGAATGTTTTCCAAAATGCTGCAACATTGTGGGGTTAGGAACTACCAGGTTTCAGAACACACCTCTTGACTACCACCACATGGGCTACATCCAGCCCAGTAGACACCAATCACATGACAGAGTCCACCCCCCGCCCCCCCCAACACAGAGTCCCATTATGGACCCAGGTTGTGTCTCTGAGGAGACACACAGCCCCAGGGCTACGTCTGTGCTAACCTGCAGCCGGCTTACTGCGTCTAGGCTTGTGCTACGGTCAGCCCCATTCCCAGAGCACCACAAAGGAGACCCTCTCCCCATAATCTTTCCCAATACCACCCTCCTGTCTATCCTTTGGCCCTGGGGACACATCCTCCTTTCAACTCACCACTCCCCAGTCTAGGCAAATCAGAAATTTATCCATTTTTCAGTTTATCCTCTCTGGACTATAACAAATGCAAGGGAAAATGCCCTGTACCTCCAAATTAGGCTGCCTACTTTGCTTCTCTTTGGCCTGGAAGCTCAGATAGCATGTAATACCTTTGAGGACTGCATTTTAACACTACCACCTTGAAGCAGTAACAGTACAGGCTGCCTGGAACTGCACGTTTCCTTGAAAGATGCTTTTATGTAGACTATTTCTTGGCAATCTCAATTGATAACTATTCTCATTCTCACTTTCTCGTCTCAGAAACCAAAACGTAAAACACTCCTTTGCCTATAGTGTGGAACTTTCTACGGAGAAAAAGGCTGGAGTAACTGAGCAGCAAGGTGCCATAACTAGGATCCCAGTTTTATATTAGACAGTTGGGACAAGCGTAAGGAAAACGAGCAGTTTGTATACTTTGGTTATTTCCCATAGTAACTTAAAAGTGGCCCATACAATGCTCTGTTTTAAACCTCAGAGATTAGCAGCATTTCACAGAGGACTAGAGGGTGAATGAGGAAACGGAGATGTAACCGTACAGGTGTTTATATTTTTCAAGCATGGGAAAACGCTCCAGTGAGTCATACAAATGAAGGTACTGAGATGATCAAGCTATGCAATTATAAATCCCAAAGAGCAGCACTCAATCTGTTACAGAAATGAACCATCTCCCAAGAAATCTGTGGCAAGCTCTATTTCCCCCTCAAATCCGTCCAATGTATACTTAGACTAGCATATAGAGAGCCTGTCAAGGATATTCAAGAGTTGATAAGTTAAAACTAGGTATAGTTCAGCCCATACTGCTCCTCTATAAAGCCCTTTTTGTCTGTTTCTTTTTAGACCTTAGGTGCAAAGACGAACTTACCTATTCATAGCAGGGTCATTCATGAACGCTCGGTAACCCTGCAAGTAAAACTTGCACAGAGTCAGAACTCCCAAAGCAACAAAAGAGACTGTGAAGACCAAGCCCAGCAGCGAGTACGGAGTGCTACAGCATTCTGCAATACTGGGAGGAGAGGAGACAAACAAGACAAAAAGAAAAGATTTGTTAATTAAAACCAGCGTGATGAGCTCCCCCCACGCCCCGTTAAGAGTGCAAACTGGTTTTAAAGCAAAACTGGATTGGTTTTAATTAAAACATTAAAAGCTATGTGTTTTATTAAAAGCTATAACACTATGGAATCCTCCGATAAAAATTACGACAGACTCTGTTACCTCTTTCCGAGGTGCAACCTAATCTCAACTAACTAGTGATTGCCTTCGGGCTGGAGCTAGGGAAACACAGTGTGGTCTTCCACTGTTCATTTGCTTCTTGCTTCACAGTTGCTGTCACACGGTGGCACTGTCCCGCTTGCATAGGATTGCAATAACCAACAGTCAATTTTAAGCAATTGGACACAATGCACTCAAGTTACTTGCTGAAATTTCGCCCAGCTACCAGAAGCACAGACTTAGAGCAGCTGGATTGACTAAGGCCATTTCCATTCAGATCCACAATAACGCAAACGAACTTTGAACTGATAACTCCAGTCAAAAGATTGGAGGCTTTCGGGTAGCACTCACATCAAGCTCAAAAAGCTAGTGAATGCTTTACGTAGACAACACAAAGCATGTTCCATCTTCCAAGTAGCTGAGTAAAAAGCAATAAAACAAGACCGTGAAGAATATTCTCCTTCAGCAGGTTTTTCCCTTTCCTTTGCTACAGCAGTAAAGTCCCAAAGTTCAAGACCCCAGAAGTGATGCTGAAAACAGATGAGTTTCTCCAGTTCCCTTACCCTAGGGCTGCTCATCTGCTGACCCTGGCGCTGAGTTATTTCGAGCAACGGAAGCCCTACTGGGGCTTCTGAAACACAACACTGCCAGAACGAGGTGCACTACACTGCATGTCCCCACACTAAATAAAGAGCTAGGTGTTAGCCAGGGCTTACGCACCTTGACATTCTCAGACACACAATTACAGGGTCATACATTGGCACGCACACTCATGCAAAACAATCTTAACTTGTTCACTAGGATTTTAGTGTTCACTAAGCCTTCAGATTCCACCTATTTGCTAAACTGAGCAGGGCTGAAAAGCTTTCAAGTCTTCCCATCAGGCCAGGCAGTGAGAGACGCAATTTTTAAATAAGCTATTTCTGTAGGATATTTGAGTAACTCTAGTTTTGTTTCAGAATAACTTATTAGAAATCAAGAATCCCGGCCTTTCTGCCTGATGTCCAACCCTTTTTTGTCAGAGAGTAATAGGTTTTAGCACCCTTTTAAATAAAGCTATTTGTAGATGATTTTTCCATGTAAGGGTACTGGAGGAGCTTAAGAGCTCGAAGAGGAGCCTAGAGACTTCTCAGTGCTATGTTCACGTCTCAAATACAAGTTTATAAGTTGTCCTGGAGAGCTGAATTCTTCAAAGTTTCTCAAAAATCACAGCAGCTGCATATTCATGGAAAAGACCTTGAGAGGAACAAGGACAGTGAAAGGTACAGAGCAGTTTTTACAGAGTAAATATGCAAGGAGGAACTCTTCAGTCTGGGAAAAACAGACCTATACCATTCATGACTTAAAAAAAAAAAAAAAAAAAAGAAACAATTCTTTGCTCTCTTTTTAATGCCTCTTAATTCTCGCATTAAATAAAACTACAAAGATTCAAAACAACCAAAACGGATTCTACAGATCTAGCTGAGCTGTGGAACTCCTTGCCTTGGGATCTTTCACAGTATATATATACCCCAAGTATATATAGGTTCAAGGGCAGAAGAAGGCAAGTTGATGAAGAGAAGGCTTTTTAGGGTTACTGAATACATACTAGCTACAAGCAGTTTAGGAAGCCTGTCAACCAAAGTTGGATGGGGGACTGGAAGAGTGTTAGGAAGCGTCCTATTTGTCATATTATGGATGGTTGTCTTTTCAGACACACACTTATGGCCATTGCTGGAAACTGGATCCTAGGCTAAATGAGTGTTTGGTCTGACCTAGTACAACCGTTCTGGTGTCCTTGTGAAAGTTTAGCAGAAGTATTAAAACATGCCAATTACTCTCACCTGAATTCCAGTTACACTATTTTAAATGGTCACGCACTTAATTAAGGGCAAGGATGCAGAAGTCACTATTCTTCGTGGAAGAGCATCTCTTTTCTTCTGTTTTGTTAAACAGACGGCATTAAAGTAGAATACCCTGGCTGAACCGGAAACATTTATTAGCCAGTCTGACACGAGATATTTCAGCTCCCTCCTAAAGGGTAAGAAGCTGTCAGAAGTACTATCTGAGTTTGCGTTTCTAAGACAAACGAACATTGGTTTCTCTCGCTGTGACAAAGCAAACACTGAGAGCATTTTCAGAGTCCTGTCTGAATTTTTGCAATTGCAGAAGAACTGAACAGAGACTGATTTGTACTCATTCACTCACGGAACAAGTCAATGAAGTCTGCAGAATAAGCTTCCTTGTTTTGCCAGGAACAGGGGAAGTCTGACAACTTTGGTGTACAAACAACTAATTTATTAGGAAAATGGTAGTTTGCTTCACTTCTAGTAACTGCTAAATACAGTATTCTGTGTTGTAGCAAACTTAAAATTGCAACAGAGGTGAATAGGAGGAAAAACTTCAAACATTGCTACTTTACTTGAAAAACTGATAACAGTGCTCTTATACAATACAGTATGACAATGTAAGTGACTAATATCTCAAACAAATAAAATCCCTTCTATTTCTCCTTAATGACAATCAGTTCTGAGAGCTTAACATATCACACAGACAGACAGGCGCGCACACACACACACACACAGAGCAACTGGAAAGTCTGATCAGAAGACTAGTGATGAGCAAGCTCCTCAAACAAGTTATGCCACAAAGTAGAATTAATGATGTGTAGTCTCTTATGAATACATCCTATGTTACCTGCATGTTTAGGCACTACCCCTAGCTCTTTTCTCCCTGTCCCAAGATTGTATAATCTCATGTGTCTTCCCCACTTTCTCTTGTAATACACCCAGTTCCTCTCCGCTCCACGCTCCTCCTCCCTGTTTTATACCATAATTTCTAGTTAGCCAAGAGTCAGTACAAGCTGCAGCTGGTTCTAACTTAGGCATGTACGGTTCAGCCAGAAAAATCCCTCAAATGCTGCCTTTTCTCTTAACAAGAGCACTAATTCAGGCCTTTCTCCTTTACCCCACAACCAGTTTTTACAAGGCTTTTAGAAATTTGAGATCTTTAAGACCTTTATACCTTTGTCAAATTAGCCACCGGACTCAAAAGTCACGTTAGGAGTTGGTTACTTCAGTTGCTTGGATAAATTCAAAAACATGTCCCACACCAGAAGTAAGAAGCAAGACACACAGGGCTCAGAAGACAACATGATCACAAACAAGATATCACGTTGGACAGAACCAAGAACTTCATCTGGAATATCTCAGACTTAAAAACAATTTGTATACTTAAAACAGACCCCTGAACCAATGCTCTAATTCCTACAATGACTTCCTTATCAAAGAAGTATTTTGCTGTCTTTGGGAACTCACCCACAGTTCTACTTATGCCGTCTGTTCTGAACTGGGACCCATGCCTCAAAGACAAGCTTAACTGGGCTTACATACGTGGTCAATGCAATAAGGACAAATATTTGCTAGGCATCAACGTGCAACAAAGCTGATCTGCACATCTAGTCTATTTAAAAGCAAAAGATATTCATTCCAGAACACAGTCAAAACAGAAAAGTAACTATTTGCAGACTCCAGTTAATTACCTTGTCAAGAAGAGGAAGAGGAGCCTCTCTCTTGAGGCAGGCTGGTCCCGTGTACTGAAATAGGAATAGATCTGAAGAGCAAATAAGACAAGCCAAAACACCATGAAGAGAACTGGGACCACCAGCTGGTTCCACAGAGACATTCCCAAAGCCAGGAGACCATATACCTCCACCACCTGGGCAAGACAGAGAAAAATAGTTTGTTACTGGTTCGCAGCACATATTGAAGAGAAAGGATACTCAACAGCATAACCACAATGAAGCTGAAGGTAATTCACATAACAATAGCCACCCCAAAGGCAAAAAAGGAGGTTCACACTACATAGCTTGACCCAAGAGAGCCCAGACTCAGCAGTGAAATACCACCACCAGCTGATCCACTATCTCACTCAAAGTAGACAAAGCGCCCAACTGTGCAGCAAACTATCTGAACAGTTCAATGCCCCTTCCCGAGAACAACAGGCTCAGAGTTGCTGACTGCAGCATTGTCAGGCAGCGACAGTTGGAGAGGAAGCATGCCTCCAGCTCACACACAGCCCACTCAGACCTTTTGCCTAGCTTAAGTCCCAGCAGTGCCGTTTTCTCTGCAGCTACGGCCAACCCACTGCACTTACTAAGTTACTGAAATGAGCCACATCATTCCATTACAATAAATCTGCTTTGCTGAACAGTTTAAAGGAAACATTAAATACAACAGATGTTTTATATTTAAGTATCTCAAAATGAACATGTATCAAACTTTTGTTCCTAATCAGCCATGTCTTTTGAAGTTTATGGTTATGAAGTTATTTCAGAAGATTCTGAAGCTCAAACTCCTTTTGTATTGCTAATGCTAAGTTATAATGCAGTGAATGTCAGGAAGCTAGAACTTCATACAGATGAACTTAATATGAAAGGTCAAAAGGAAATCATTCATAGCCACTATTTCCTCATCTTCTACTTCCCACAAAGACAGAAAATCCATGACAGCTGGCAAATGCATGAGAAAGTTTGTACTTCAACAAAACGTTAACAAAGCTGCCTACTTAGTCTTTTATGACAAGCACAAGGGATGTTACATATGTTCAAGGGACCTGCTGTAGTATCTGCTGAGGCTGGCTGACAAGCCATATGCTACCTGCAGAAACGTAGAGCCAAATATCCACTTTCAGCTTTGCGCACTGACTGGTCAAGGAACCGCTTCTGCCCTCCGGAGGCTCCCTTGGCCTCATAACCATGAGGCATTTATGGCATATCCTGCAGCAAACAGGCAGCCAAGTTTCTGGATCTGCTCTTATATGACATCATTATCCACAGCGTGGAATAAACCCACACACAAAAAGCTGCCTTGGTCTACCTGTTGGGGCTGCCTCCCCTAAGGTGCTGTGCTCAGGAACACCTCAGTGCTTAGCACCTTAGTATCCACTAAGTTTTGCCAGTAATAGAACAGCATCAACTCCAGCCTAAAAGAGTAGTAAGCTCATAACCACCAGGATGATGGCATCACTAAAACTTAACAACATAAAGTTATAATAAAGGAAATACAAGCAACAGAACATTCAACAAACAGAGCAATAACCTCCTCTGGAATAAGCACATTTATCATCTTGATCTGTAGTGAAGCAGCCAGTTATACAAATACACTATGAGCAAAGTGTTTTTCTGCTCTGTTTTGGAAGCATGGGCAAAGACCAGCTAGCTCTTAAAAAACAAAAATCCTGTTTTCTTGTATTGCGATTAAAACATGAAAACCACTCAACATGCAGAACTTCATTCCAAACCACTCTCTCTAACATTCATTGAGAAAAGAGCTGCATACAAGTCTATTTCAAGTCCAGTGGCACCTTGCAAACATTCTGCCATTTATTCCATATTCACAGGGAAGAACTTTATTCCCTTGATCTACATAAAAGGTCAGGAGAAAGAATATGACTAATGACCAACAGCCACACACAAGGAAAATTTCCATCTCACACTTGCAACAGCATAACACAACCTGGCGAACAAAGATTTGAAATACCAGAAGAAAAGATCAGAGGAAAACAATCCCAAAGATGGAGAGATGGAGACTTCTCTAACAGCTGTATTTAGAATATAATTCTAACCTCATCCCCAAATCCTCCCC